ATTCATTATTCATTTATTCATAAATCTATTGCCTTTTAATACAGCAACCAAAAGTTTGCAGAGATTTTTATCTTTTTCTCATGCAGCTCCACAGAGAGATGAAGCCTCATTTATTGCTGTCAAAATGACAAAGACATTGTTGATATCAGCTTATCTAGAACACCGTTCCAATAAAAGAGAGGTGAGCAAAAGTGTTTTATTCTTTGTTTCATAAGTAATGTCCTACAATTATGATCTATTCAGTGTATATCACCGTTCAAAATGTATTTTATGTTTGTGAAGTTTATCTTGAATACTTTTGAGGTTAAATTAACGTTTAACTAATTTACAGTAATTTGAATGTGTTCACACCAATTCATAATGCATATCCACGAGGTAAATAAAACATTATTTGGTAAAATAATGTTTCATTAATGGATTTGATTAATCAGAAACCAATAACCTTTAGTTGACTGGTTCTTAATCTGTTGATTGAGATAGCAGCTAGCCAACATGAGGGGACTCCTCTTAAAAGACTCTTTGGTCATATTTTGGATATCAAATATGATTAATATACAAAGAAACAAATGAACAGGAACACTATATTAATGTTCAAACCCTTGTTAAATAAAGTTTGTTTTAGCTTTATAAGACAAAAGCTCAAAACATGTCAGCAGGGTGTACCATGCCATTGTACTTCTTAACTTCTTTTACACAACAATAAACAGATGAAATTATCAAAAACCATCAAAAAGGAGTAGTTAAAAACTGCTGATCTCATTTTGCAAAAAAGGCTCAGTTGTCTCTAGTATTTGGCAGCTTAGCATGGCAGGCCCACAGCAGGGAAGCCCCCTTTGTGGTAAATGATCTGTTCGTATACAGTGCTTTTTCAAGTCAGATAAGTTTTAAAAAAGCGCTTCACACTACATTCAGTCATTCACACATTCACACGTTGATGGTGGCAAGCTTTTTATTCATCTGAAAGTTTCCTGTTACCAGAAATGTTGGTAACGATCTGTTTTTTTCAGTTTGGTTCTAAAGTTAGCCACAATGGCGTCTCTACTGATGTTACTGTATCTTCAGGAAAGCAACATGGTTTCTTTTGAGTTTATTGTTTTCTCCTCAAGCACTGTAGGGGGGAGGGTTGCATATCTTTATAGGAGTGTAGTAGAAAGTGTCCAACAGCAGAGCAAAATTGCATCATTCTACGCATATGTTTATCGTCAATATCAGCATTGACAGTGTCCCCAATGTTGAAAATTCATATAATGGTTTAAGGCTAAACACAAGAGTCCAGAGAGTGACTAATTAGGGTACTACAAGCTGACATGGCAAGAGTGAGCCAGGACCACTCAAGGTGTTGTCGGGCAATAACCTCTTTCTCACCACCTGAAAATACAGAGAAGAAAAGTTGATCTAAGAAATAAGATTGTAGACTACTCTGGAAACCCTTGGCCAAAGCCAAAGTTAAATAGTAAAATCTAAACTATGTTGTGGTATGCATGATGCTATGCAAATAGCAGTGAGATAGTGGCTTTAAAAGGAAATTCTGCATATTACTCAAGGCTTGACTGGTTTACCTAAATGCTAGCAATAGTATTCTCAGAATCAGAGTTTGTCACAGTGGCAGACACAGAATGCATGTTTAAATTAGTAAATGTAAGTCAATAAACCTGAATTATGTATGATTTGCAGTTATCCTTTGTTGCCAACTCCCCCACAGATGTGACATGAAATGTCTCATCTGTGAGAATACAAGTAAATCACAAATCTGCAAGTATGGATCCACAAGACATCACCCTGCTTACAAGATGGTGGAATTAATGCACGTAAAGTTGCTTTTCATGTGCCTTTAAAAGAGAAGAGGAAGAAGACACAAACTGAACCATAGATCAAAGATTATTTGGTGCATGTGTTGAAAAGGGATTTTAATTGAAGATGTACAGTAATGTTCAAACGATGTATATGTTTTTTTTTTGTTCTTCCTCCTCTACTTTATTATCCTGTACCTAGATGGAGTGAGTTAAATCAGGTTTTGAGCAGAGAACAGAATGTTGAGCATGATTGGTTGGTGTGTAACAAACTGGCCCTCAACATCTCTAAGACTAAGTGCATGGTGATTGGTTTAAAGCACAAGCTATCCACAAGCTCAGACTTTGATTTACATTTTTGTGGCTTGATGGTTCAACAAGTTAAAAGTGCCAAACTCGTTGGTGTGATGGTAGACTGTTCTGTGTCTTGGCCTCACAACATTGATTATATTGTTGTTGTTTTTTTGAATTGTTGATATTGTTTTGAAAATGGGAAGAGCAATTAGTACTGCAAGGAAATGCCTTTTGTGGCCCATCCCCTTCTATGTAAAATAGTTCAGAGTCTAGTTGTATGTCATCTTGACTATTGCTCTACATCTGCTGCCAGGGGTGAACTCAAAAAGCTCCAGATTGCTCAGAAAAAGGCAGCACAGTTGGTACTGGGGTGCCCCCTTAGTCTCTGTTGGTGAGACGTACCGTGTTCACTTCCTGTTTTGTCTGCTGAGCTGCATTGTTAATCAAGCCATCCCTGTTTGAGTTAGGTTACTTTTTTCTGTGATATCTCTGTATCTAAGTCAATCTAACTGTCCATGAGCACTTTAAAACATAATGCCTTCTGTTGTAGAAACGTGGCATTAGAGGCACCAATGTCCATAGTGAAATGTTTGACGGGGGCCAGAATGGGCAACATCAAATCCTACCTGAAACTGCTGGCTAAGGATAAAGTTAAATACAATAGTAAAATACAATAACATTGTTATTCATGGTGGTGGTAATGACATCTGGTTATGCTGATCAGAGTTTACTAAAATTAGTGTTGCCTCGGTGTGTAAGTTTGCCAAAACAATGTCGGACTCCGAAAATGTCTCTGGTCCCTTCATGATGACATGTGTAGACTAATGTCATCATTCAACTACTGGTTATCTAGGTGGTGTCTTGAAAACAATGTGGGCTACATTGATAATTGGCAATCTTTTTGGGGAAACCCTGGTCTTATTCCAAGAGACAGCATCCATCCTATTGTGGATGGTGCAGCTCTTCTTTCTTAACCTGGCAGTAGCCAGATTGATATGTGTAGAACTGAGTTGAATTCGACGTTATCAATCTGGGATGGCTGCTGTTCAGTCTGTCCGTAAAGAGGAGGGATGTACAATACTTTGAGCTGATTGGATGAAATGCCAGCTAGTATCTGCCTTCCATAATAGGCTTTCAGCCAATCATAGCAGGGAATTGTGACATTTTCACAACTAGCGGAGTAAGCTGATTAATCAAACTTTTTCCAAATCCTGTCATAAGAAAAGCACAGGCATCTTTCCCATCTGCAAATGCACAAAGTGCTTCTCTTTGAAAAGCACAGACATCTTTCCTTTCTAAAAATACCCAAAGTGCTTCGCTTTGCTCTTTTTTTAAACAAGAAATTTTTAGCTAAAACTGAGTCAATTGCTGTATCGACAGGTGAGTCCTCCAGCATAGCTTTGTTTGTAATACCCTAGCAAGGCCCTCCTGACTGTTGTCATTCCTACATTTCCCATCCCATAATACACTGCTGGCATGTCATTGGTCCAGCTCTCTGGTTTTAAGAGACCGACGTATTAGCTAGTCTCGAGTCTTTCGAGATGGATTTGTTGTGAGACTGAAAACTCAGATCTCTCAGCAATCCAGCTTGCAGCGCATGGTTACTTCTTTCTTACTTCTTAGGAATCTGGACAAATGTATTAGTCTTCCAAAACCCTGACAACCCCGGGTGCTCAGCAGGAAGCAGAGTCGTAGTTTAACACACCTCTCTGAAGCTTCTCTACTATTACCCACTCTTTACTCCATCCAGACAGTTCATTGCCCACAACCGAAATCAAATAAATTTGAGAAGAGTCCCAAATGAGTAAATCATGCCAATGTAATAATCATAACTCCAATTGGGGAAAAAGTTATAAATGGGATTTATTTAACATAAGATCTCTTTCTATAAAAAGTCTGTTAGTTAATTATATGATTTGTGATAATCACATTGATTAATGTTGCCTTACAGAAACTTGGCTGTAGCAAGAGGATTATGTAATCATAAATGTGGCAACTCCCTCTAGCTATGTAAATTTTCAAATACCCAGAAATTCTGGGCAAGGAGGAGGAGTAGCAACAATTTTTCAGTCTGACTTACTGATTACTCCAAAGGCAGTTAATAATTACAACTCTTTTAAACGTCTAACCCTTAGTTCCCCTTATTCAAATTGCAAAGCTACAAAACCTTTACTTTTTGTAACTTTGTGTCATCCAACAGGACCTTACTCTTAATTTTTTGTTAAATACTGACAGGGTCATCATAGTAGGGGATTTTAACATCTATGCTGACAACATAATTCAAAATGAGTTTAATCCCACACATTATCATCTTCATATTTTTGACCTTATGCTAATATATGGCATTGAATGTGAAAAAATAACAGTATTTCCTCACAAGCCGGTCCTCTCTGACCACTTATTATTAACCTTCAGGACTGCTTTAACAGAGTTAATTTAACTTATGGGTACATATTTAAATTAGTAAATGTAAGTTAATAAACATGAATAGATTTGTTAGATATCTTACCCCACATCTGCTGGTCCACAGAGGTTTCCACACATGGATCATTCTGAGCAAAAATATAGAATTGGCCTAATATGTACTTTATATAATTACCTAACCAGGATGAACATTATGGACAAGTACAGATAATGAGACTTAACAACTTTGATTTATTTTAAATTCCAATCTGTTTATCTTATCCTCATCATTATTAGCCATAGTAAAAAGTAATGACTAGAATATGTTAATCTTGGAGCCAAAAGAATGTTCTAGAGAAAACTTTGTTTTTTTTTTAAACCTCTTTTTGCTTTTTATGAATATCAATTCAATACGATCCTAAATTGTGATACAATTAAAATTACATGTGACCTTGTCAGTAACTCTCTAATCTCTTTAATCAGGTCCGGGTTATAGCCATTGTGCGGCGAGAGGAGAAAGTCTCCTACCGTTGCATCTTTCAGTGTCAGAACCAGCAGTGGCACACCTCGAAAGGTGTTCTCAGCATCCATACAGACCACTTTGGGTTCTCCTACGGAACAGCGGACATCATGTGTCCCATCCCCCCAGAGTGTGAAAATCCATCTCACATTTCTGTGGCTTCTGATAAGACGATATCAGAAGGTATAACAGGGTTTTTTGAGTATTTTAACTAAATGGTATCATCCAGGTTTCCCAGGCTGGCAATACAGTAAAGTATAGAAGACATTAGGAAAATTGTTACAGGCACACGAAAAACATATAAAAACAGCATTTTTTAGGTGTTCATATTTATTATCCATTAAAAATCATTATTCAGTAGGCAGAGAGCTTATTACTCCAATAGATTTGTAGAGCATCAATACAATAATATAATAGTTTGAGAATACTTTGTAAGAACGTACAAAGTATTCTAAAAATCAATATTTCTTTTCTTTCAGATGAATATAAGGAAGAATTTTTGGAAGTGAATAACCAAAAAGCACAGACTGAATCTTTTCCTTATAACTTCACAGTCTGTATTTCTACTATGTTTGATTTCACCAATGTGCTCCAGGTAAGTCAAGGTTGTATTTCTGGTAATAGTAATTGTTTTCGATTCAATTCCAAATCACAAAACCCATGCAGACTGCCCAATTCAAGTCTCCTGACACTCTTAGCATATCTTTTTGGAAAAATTATCAAAGGGTCCTAGTTATATTCATAGTACTACAGATTTCTTAGGCAGTAGCTCACTTTGCTTGCATAGAAGAATCGTTTTAAATGATGGTGCCCTGTGGGTAATTATATTAGATTTTCTGTTTTACACATTGGTTTTGCTGCATTTGTTGGTAAACTTTATTGCTCTTGTGTATTTATCTCAACAAGACCATGTAATTAGAGGTGCAATATTGCACGTGTGTTACGACTACACAAGGTAGCAAGGCAGCAAAGCAAATAGGCATTTCTCCAGCAGGCGTGAGGAAAAGTAAAAAAAAAAAAAACTGATGCCAAGATGGTAAGATAAGATGTGGGCACTTCGAATACAATAGGAACACTGGTGTTCACTGAAGGGGGAGATAAAGACCCAGAGGGAGGCAGTTTTGGGAGTACGTACTGCCAGCAGAAGGCGACGGTGTACTACAATGTTTAAGTCATTTAATGATCATGCCAGGTGCAAACATTCTTTTAAGGCTCAACAAGAGTTAAGTAAACACAATCAGGATTGACACTTGAAGAATATTTAATTATTTCAACATGAAAATTAGGTTTTCTGTGGGGTTGTTTTTTTTTTGCATCCATTGTATGTGACTAGGTCACTTTAAAATATAGTCTATTACATAGCAATTATTAAAATGCAAGGCTCCAAAACACATTTTGTCTTTAATGTGTCAAATAAGATCTTTCTCTTTTGGGACACTGCTACCAAGTACATTTTTAACATTGTCATCTTAACATCAGTGTCTTAACCTTGACTGTCTTTATCTTCCGCAAACTCGCCCATGAAGGGATTGAAAAAATCCACTCCCTATGTTTTTAATGGTGGCACAGAAGGCATGACCCTCTCGGCCTGAGGAAGCTTTTTCTGAATTCTCAAAAATTGCTAGTTCATATAGGCTATTTGTACTTGTACCCGTCTTCTTACACATATCCGGGACAAGGCCTCCTAATGGTACTTGCCTGGAAGACCTCCTGAGGGAGGCGTCCAGGAGCAATCCAAGAAAGATCTCTGTGCCACCTCAGCTGACTCCTCTCAATGTGGAGATGCAGGTTTATTCCGAGCCTTTCACAGGTGTCTGAACTCCTCGTCCTGTCAATAGGGGAGTGCCAAGACATCCTGTTCAGAAAGGTGATTGCCATCATTTGTTTCAGGGATTTAATTCTTTGGGTCATGGTCCAGATTTCATTACCAAAGGCGGAGGTAGGAGAGCATTACCTTTTTGCTCAGCTCTCTCTTCTCCACAACAGACCAGTGTGGTATTTAGGTTATACCACAGTGATCTGTCTATCAATCTCCAGCTCCAATATTGGCTCACTTGGGGACTGGACCCCAAGATGCATGAATGGCTTATAAAAAAAATACTTTCACCTTTTTCAAAGATTTTTCCCATGCCTACGTTGTTGCTTCTGTAACCATGGAAGCTAGAGACCATCTGACCAGTGGATAATATTCTTCATAGACAAAGAAATCTTATTATTGATCTGTTTATTATTTCACATTTAAGTCTTCCATTGCACCTGGCTTCCACAAGAATTTTATTCCAGTTCTTGTTTGACGGCATTAGTTACCTTTAGCCATCAGTTTTCTACAAGTGGCATGTGTATTGGAGAAACTTAACATGGCCCATTGTGATTTTATGACCACCATATTTCTAGATTAGGGTTGTCACGATATTAAAATTTTCAACTCGATACTGATACTCAGGAAAATATTCCATACTTGATACCATTTTCGATACCACAAGGAAAAAAACAAAGACCTTAAAAATCAGAAATATTTTTATTAATAAATAAAATACAAAAAATAAATACAATAAACAATAAGAACAATATTTTGAGGTAGTCTTCTGTGCACAATATTAAGCAAGCTTGATAAAAAAATAACAAAATTAACTTAATTGTTCCTTCCTTGGCTATGCTTGATAAACAGAACAATGACACTAGCCAAACCAGTTAAACAAAAATAAATGCTTTATTCTCAGCAGCTGCCCGTTACAAAAAAAGTCTTCAGTGTGTTCTTTATCTATCTATCTATCTATCTATCTATCTATCTAT